ATATAAACATGCATTCCAAGTTTCATCAAAATCGGATGAAAATTGTGACCTCTAGAGGTTCCACAACCTTGTATAACCATATTTTACACTATTTGCGTACAAGTGGCGGCCATTTTGTCCGGCAGTTTTGGTCCGTTTTTCACGAAATTCGAACGCAACCATCATTAGGGTGTAACGGTGATATACAAAAACGGATTTTTAAATCGGATACAAATTGTGACCTCTAGAGGGACCACAAGCTAAAAACGCGATTTTTCGTACAATCAGGGGCCATAATTCAGAAAGTTACGATCCGATATGTGCGATTATCGGAAGTAACCAAGATCTTTGGTTTATAAACATTCAGATCAAGTTTCATCAAAATTCTGACCTCTAGAGTGTCCACAAGCTAAAAAAAACGTGCTTTTTAGTACAATCAGGGGCCATAATCCATGAAGTTATGGTCCGATACATGCCAATATCGAAAGGAACTGAGGTCTTTGGGCGATAGACCTATATTTCGAGTTTCGTCAAAATCGGATAAAAATCGGGACCACAAGCTAAAAGCGTGATTGTTCGTACAATCAGGGGCCATAATTTAAAAGCGTGATTGTTCGTACAATCAGGGACCATAATTCAGGAAGTTACGATCCGATATGCGCGATTATCGACAGAAACCATGCCAATATCGAAAGGAACTGAGATCTTTGGGAGATATACCAATATTTCAAGTTTCGTCAAAATCGGATGACAATCGGGACCAAAAGCTCAAAGCGAGATTGTTCGTACAATTAGGGGCAATAATTCAGCAAGATACGATCCGATATGCACGATTATCGGAAGAAACCAAGATCTTTGGGTTATAAACATGCATATCAAGTTTCGTCAAAATTGTGACCTCTAGAGTGACCACAAGCTAAAAACGTGATTTTTCGTACAATCAGGGGCCATAATCCATGGTCCGATACATGCCAATATCGAAAGGGAGTGAGATCTTTGGTAGATGGACCTATATTTCAAGTTTCGGCAAACAAATTGTGGACGGAAGGACGGACAGGGGCGACGACAATATAGGTCCACAGATTTCTGGTACTAAACACAGAACTAGTCATTTTTTCTACAGTAAATTATACAATGTATATGGAACGACTCCTTAACACTACCAGAATTAAGGTTGTGGTTTATGCTGTGTGGTGGGAAAAGGGGTGTACACGTGATAATAAGTGTAACGATAGAAAAATAACTACTAGCTATATATTCCAATGTTTTATCGCCTAATAATTATAGATATTATATGGAATGACTCCTACAACACTACAGAATTAAGGTTGTGGTTTATGCTATTTGATGAGAAAAAGTGTGTACACGTATTTATTATTGATAATAAGTTTAGCCTTAAAAAAATAACTACTAGCTATATGTCCCATTGTTTTATCGCCTAATAATTATAGATATTTTGGTGGGGTGCCAGTCTGCGTTGTCGCTTAATATTGTGTATATCTGTTCAGACTATCGACTTTTCCTCCTCAAAGCTGTTAAATTATTTAGTAATTGATCACGTAAACTATATAATAATGGATCTCTATATAGTAAAACAAACACATGTATAATTCATGTATCGTTTAATTTCCAGTATACAAATTATCTTGAATGCTACTACAGTTTATTTCTGATGGTGTGCATTCTCACCTCTGTGCTGAAAGTGGGTAAATCAAAAAAGAACTACTGCAGCTTAAAGCCGTTGTATCAGTTATTCAGATGATAATAGAACGCTTTGCTTATCTTTATTCACCAATTTATAACAGTAAAAAGGCAGTCACAACGAATATATAGTTTCAGGAGAGCGAAATTGTCGTTTTTAGAGAAAACTTTCAAAAACTATTTTCATTATCATAACATCAAATCCAATCCCGACCTATACGGGCCGAAGCAAATAAAATTTACTAGTTCAATCATTCAGCAAACAAAAAGGGTCAATGTCATTCCAAAACAGAGGTTACTATGATTTAAAAGGATGACGGGAGGATAATGCTACTGCATTGACAATGTCCTTAAATAAAACCACATGGGATACATGTGCACAACAGAGCCTGAAATGCTAAATATCCGGTATCAAAGATTTAAAAATGAACGACAAATACAACACCATTTATTCGGATATAATTATACCGTCTGTAAAATTTCTCAAGTAACAAGATCAGTGTGTCATTATTTCATCCAAAATGTATCGTAACATTTTAAAACACTATAATCTGGAAAATAAAATTTAACCCATAATTTTTATTAATTTTACAGAATTGAAGCCATCACGATGTCTGGATTTTTTCAAAGATATCTAAAGCTCGGATCTCAGAAAATCAACCCATTTTACTCTGAAACGTAAATTACCAAGAAACGAGAAATAGTTACACTCATTAGTAATTGATTTTTAAGGGTTATCATCATTATAACGAAGAATAATAAGTGGTTTCCCAGTTGTTGGCTCTGGAACGGCTAATGCTTAGATTGCTTAGGCTGGAATTTTTTAAAACAAAATTAACCATGCGTTAAAATTTTGAAAATGTAATCGATAAAATACTTCTTATATGATTTAGGACGGAATCTTTATATTTATTAATTCACAGACCGCTACATGCGGAGTAGCATCAGAATTAGTTTGATACACATCAACTTTGGGATTTCGATAAATATTAAATGCACGGCAACTGGAATATGGGACCTGGGTTTCTCGTCCCATTCCAACTCTTAGACGCTGTAAATTGTCAAGGCCTCCGTCCTACACGACTGGCAAGGAAACACCATGCTAAAAAACGGAAGAATTTTCTCAGCTAACACACAATTCACTGAGTTTGCTGATAGCTTGATAATAATATTTAAGACATATTTGTTTGTCGCGATCAGTGGTTTCTAAATTAAAATTTAATCTGCAGCGTTAAAATCCATGTTTTTAGTTATACGAATTATATACTCTTATCATTAAAAATTAAAATTTAATCTGCAGCGTTAAAATCCATGTTTTTAGTTATACGAATTATTTTAAGGCGCATTTTTAAAAATTATATTAAGGCGCATATACCCTTGAATGTGAATGCATTTTAAGGTAAATTACATAACCATTTAATTACACTGTTGGCTAATCTCTGCGTCACTATCTTCAAAACGATGTCGGGCTGACATGCTATTCTGTTTTATGTTTCGGATAATATCCACGAACCATCTACCATCACCGAATTATCATGTTGGCTATTCATACTGTATATTTTCAGTCCCTTCCTTCCATTTTACTTATCTAACAAAAATCAATAATTACCTCTTCACTTATATATATATATAAAAAAATCAATAATTAGCGTATTTTTCCACGTTTCTTGTCGGGACGTTAATGTAGTTAATGAAATGGAATAACAATAATTATCTTTGTTTCCTGGTTTGAGGTTCATGTTTTGGAGATAACTATGGTATTCAAATTGAAGAATTCGTTACCTGAATGAGTCAAACAAAATTCCGTCAAAATGTCCAATCACATCACCATTTTCAGACAAATCGAATAAGCACTTTCAATAAATGTATTATTGTATATTTTCAACTCTCAAGATGACTCTTAACTTAATAGTAATTACGTGTCATAAGAGAGCCTTGAAAGCTTTAAAGCACTCTTAACGGAAAATCTACGTACCAGACATTCGAATGATATATATATTGTAAATTATTGTCCTTTAAAATCAATATTCTTATAAGCGATCTTATTTTCATTTTGAAGGAACATTAAATGTGTCTGTAGATGATGTACATAATAACACGTGATGCTAATCACTGAAAACAGATTATAGCAATTGTAAAATCATTTTAAATACCTGCTGGGATGCATATACAGAAACGTTCCAGCATACCATTATTTATGTTACTGGAGTCCAATTGTCATTAGACTGGGTGCCCGTTTCGTTTTCATTTCGTTTACGTTTGAACTACACATCAATATAAACCCAGTTTCAAAAAGTATTAAAAATCGCTTGGCCCCGATGAGGCCTGATATATTGTCACGCCAATCATGAAGCGAAGCTGTGTATTGAGTAAAATGATTTAAATCAAATTGGGGTCAAATATAACAAAGGGTATAAAATACAGTAATTATATAGATCTGTATTTATTGTAGACCAATAAAACTCAAAACTTGTACTAAATAAAACAACAATCGATTAATGTTAATTACAGTTGATTTTTAAGATTATTTCTGTACAATAAGTTGAATTGTTCTAACGAGATTTAAGATTGTTGAGTATAGTAGTATACTTCAAGAATATAGTACTTATGGAATTGGGTATTTCTTCACAACTTCTGACATCGAAATTAGCGGTATATATTTTACGCCATTATATGTGAAAGGTAAAATGAAACGCATGTCAGTATTAGTATAAGTGTAACGATAAAGAAGTAACCACATACACTACAATGTGATTTCAGCTAATAATCAGATCTGTTTTGATGGGATGCCAGTTCCCATTCACGCGTTACATGTATATTGTGTATATCTGTTCAAACTATCGACTCTTATCTCTAGATACAGTTAAGATATTCCATAACAACCGTCATGTTATCCCATAAACTGTATAGAAAAACATGCTTAAGCTTAATTTATAATTCTCAGTAGGATCCAAGTAGAAACAAACGACTGTAAATGAAACAATAGCATCTGGAATTAACGGCGTCATTTCAAGTCTCTAGATAATTATAAAACGTTTTAAATCTGATTCTTCTCATATCTGATACAAAGAAAAACCTCACAGTAATAGATGTCGATGAATTAGTATAACTCATTAGTTCATAGTGAACTAAATCTGAATTTTGGAATAAGATTGAAGACTAGCATATGGACAGAATACAAAATCTAATAAACAAATTCGATAACACCATGTAAAAGGCATTCAATATTGAGTGTCCGTGTACCGTCAGGTGCATCAAGTTGACACCTTTTTCTGCATTTATGTTTATAATCTAACTTTATTTTCGTTTCATATTTTCAGCTCTACCTCCTGATGTATCCAGTATCTGGGAAGCCTATCCTTGGAGATTCGGCACATTTTTCTGCATCATCAAGTCTTTCATATCAGAAATGACGTCCTATGCTTCAGTGCTAACTATAACTGCCTTTACTGCCGAACGTTACGTGGCTATATGTCGACCCTTATTGTCTCAATCACTATCAAGTTTATCCAGAGCTGTAAAAATTATTATAGGAATATGGATAGTGGCGTGTGTCTGTGCGTTGCCTTACCCTGTTCATACTCGCGTATTTTATGAAATTCAAAATCCTTACACAAACGAATCAATCGAGGAATCTTTGCTTTGTAATATACCTACTGAATGGAGAATACCAATGAGATATATGTTTCAATTCTCAACTTTTGCATTTTTTATCATTCCTATGATCGTAATAACTATTGTGTATATTTTAATCGGTGCTGAATTATGGAATAGTAAATTAGGGATAGACAATACTAAAAATAAACAAGCAGCAGCCCAAGCGGCTAAAGCACGAAAGGCCGTATTGAAAATGTTAGGTGAGTACTTATTTTGTAATAGTAACGTCGAGAAATCTCGGAGTGGTTCTACTGTCTCAACCCCATGGACTGCGAATAAGGACTTTTCTAGGGATAACGTTGTCTGTGATTTCAAAGAATGTGGGGTGGGCGTCCGTGCAAAAGCTTCTAATCTAGTCTATTTGTAGTGGTCAATGACTTTGAGATAAAGTCCTACCCACAGCCTTTAGTTCCTGAAATTAAAGCTTCGGGATGTCGCCTATTAAAAAGAATATGTTTCCAATTTCCAAACGATATTCGAGTATTGTATATTGTTTCTGGCCCAGTCGGAGCACAACAGTAGGACGTTAAAACCCCTTCGCATTTCCTTTCATTTCTCTGATTTTTGTAGTTCATTTATCCGTAAGATTTATTAATATATTTTATGTACTATCGTTTCATTGGTGTCGAGTGCAATTGTTTACCTTGTACATTGTACATTAAGTGCTTCAACTTAAAAACTATGATGTTATGAAAATTTAAATTTTCAGTCGTCACTTTCCTAATTATCTTAACGTATTATACAAATTAAAAATCAAATGAACAGTGTGACTGCAATTGTCACAGATGCATTAAGACTGACAATGAGGGTTTTCTCACCATAATCTTGGAGCTCTTGGTAATGTCATGGAACGGTTGACCTTTTATACAAACGTTACAGTATTGGACAGAACACATAGGCTTCATTTATAATGAATACCATGTTTCTTTCCTACGACATACATGATTGAATATGATATGTCTAAAGTGTTATTTTTGTGTTACATAAATAGAGGACTGACATTGTTTTTATTACAAAGACATTATTATCTCAGCGAGTTATATGTTGTCATATCGAATATTAATTAGTTAAAGGAAATGAAAGCGTAAGAAGCAGTGATTGATTATTTAAGAGATTGCTTAATGATTCGGAAATGCCAAGTTTCGTTATGCTGACATCTTTTATTCAGATTCCCCTGTCATGATATTCTTTATGGTCGTGTTGCTTAATTTGCATCCCATAGAGGCAGGTTCGTCAAACAATTTGTTCTTTAAAAGGGCGTTGATTGATGTATATAATGAGAATCTGTAATCGATTGTACATAGAAATTGCTTCCTTAAGACACGGACAATGAACTTTTATTAATATTTGAGTGTGTTTATAGGTCGTTTTTAACAAGTTTATTTTATTGTAACTTGGCAACTGTAAACATGCATTCAATAACAAGGTAAAAATATTTAATAAAAGAAGGAGTTATTAAAATAGCATAGTTCTAAGTGCAAATGATTTAGTACTCCTCTATTGAAACGGGTATCTGCAACACGCAGTCCTACCCAAAGCCAAACACATCAAGCTTAATTACCTAAATTGTCCTAAATCGGAATGTCTCCACCCAAACCCATATGTATATTATGCTATCGTAGATATGCTTAAAATGGTCACATTGAGTATTATTGAACAGGGGTGGGGTATCTCGAGCACAAGTTCTCCTGATCACAGTTTTTCAAGAAAATACTTATTACACCCAGGATGTTTCGCCTGTTGTGATCGCCCCGTACTGAAATACCTTCTATAAACAAGTTATATGAATACTTTCTTTAACAATCAGACCAGGAACAGTCCCCATCTAACATTTTGTCAAAAAGGTCTAGACTGGTAATATTAAACACCACGTGCTACCAAATTTATCTTTTAAAATCAAGACAAGACTCACCAAGAATTCAATCAAAGTTCAATTCGACTTGATAAATTTTCACTGGAAAACAATTTTGCCGTCTGCGGGAAATATGTTGTAAAAAAAACTTGATTAAATAAATCAGTAGAGTACTGAGATGCTTGATTAGTTCTTGTTGACTAGCTCTAGTAATTCATTTGTGTGGTTTTGAAACTCTACGTGTAACAATTGGTGATTAAAAAACATTCATCACACAGGCTTCTGATGCCTCATATGCGAGAGAACATTGTTGCCATCCCTGCCTTCCTGTCCAATTTTTTATAAACATTCGAGATCAAAGATAAGAATCCTTTTCGAAACACAAATGGTGAATCGGGTTTTGTAAGCGCTGTACTGGTCACGAGATTTAGACATGAAGAAAGGATGTTTCAATTTTATACAGAGCTATTGTAGCCCCCGTTTTCATTAGCAAAGTCCGAGCAGAACTGTAGGACGAAAAAACCCATTTCATTGCAATTATATCTTACCCCAAATCATGGTGTGTTGGAGCGGGTAGGTGGTGTCTTTCTTTAAAATTAATTTTGCTGAGATCGTTCGATATTTCAATAGATGGAATCCTATTGAAATTTATGTATACCAATTACCATTGTCCCTATCAACGAAATCTTGTGTGGACCATGGCTTTCCAAGAGATCCTCAAAGAAAGATCATGGGATTTGTTTTTTTACGCCCAAATTTCCATGTGGACGTATATTGTCATCGCCCTTGTCCGTCCGGACGTCCGTCAACAATTGTTTGTGGACATCTGATTTACAAAAACGTTCGAATATATCACCGTTACACCGTAATGTTGGTTGAGTTTGAATTTCGTGAAAATCCGACCAAAACTGCCAGACAAAATGGCCGTCCCTCGTACGCAAATAGTGTAAACATCTGGTATATCGAGGTTGTGGACCCTGTAGAGGTCACAATTTTTATCCGAATTAAAGGAAACTTGAAATATAGGTGTATCTCCCTAAGATCTCGATCCCTGTCGATATTGGCATGTATCGAACCGTAACTTCATGGATTATGGACCCTGAGTGTACGAAAAATCGCATTTGTAGCTTGTGGACCCTATAGAGGTCACAATTTTTATCTGATTTTGTTGAAATTTGAAATTCCTTTCGATATTGGCGCATATCGGACCGTAACGTCCTGAATTATGGCCCCTGATTGTACGAATAATCACATTTCTTAGCTTGTAGACCCTATGGAGGTCGTAATTTTATTCCGATTTTAAAAAAAACGTTTGAAGATATCACTGTTACACCTTACTGGTGGTTGAGTTCGAAAATCGGACCAAAACTGTCGGACAAAATGGCCGCCCCTCTCTACAGCTCACAATTTTTGATCCGATTTTGATGTAACTTGGAATACATGTTTATAACCCATAGATCTTGGTTCATTTCGATATTTGCGCATATCGGAGCATAACTTCCTGAATTATGGCCCTTAACTGTACGAAAAATCGCGTTTTTAGCTTGTAATCCCTCTAGAGGGCACAATTATTATCCGATTTAAAAAAAAACGTGTGGATATATCACCGTTACACCCCAATGATGGTTGTGTTCGAATTTCGTGAAAATCGGATAAACACTGACGGACAAAATGGTCGCCACTCGTACGCTAATCGTGTAAAAAAAAATGTTATATCACGGTTGTGGACTCTCTACAGGTCACAATTTTCACCCGATTTTGATGAAACTTGAAAGGCATGTTTATAACCCAAAGGTCTTGGTTCTTTTTGACATTCGCGCATATCGGATCGTAACTTCCTGAATTATGGTCCCTGATTGTACGAAAAAATGTGTTTTAGCTTGTGGTCCCTCTAGAGATGACATCTGATTTACAAAAACGTTCGAATATATCCCGTTACACCGTAATGTTGATTGAGTTTGAATTTCGTGAAAATGGCCGTTCCTCGTACGCAAATAGTGTAAACATCTGGTATATCGAGGTTGTGGACCCTGTAGAGGTCACAATTTTGATCCGATTTTGATGAAACTTGAAATGCATGGTTATAACCAACAGATATTGGTTCCCGTTGATATTTGCGCATATCGGATTGTAACTTCCTGAATTATGGCCCTTGGTTGTACGAAAATCGCGTTTTTAGCTTGTGGTCCCTCTTGAGGTCACAATTTTTATCCGATTTATAAAAAAACGTTTTATAATATCACCGTTACACCCTAATAATGGTTGAGTTTGAAATTCGTGAAAATCGGACCAAAAATGCCGGACAAAATAGCCACCCCTCATACGCAAGTAGTGTAAATATGGTCTATCAAGGTTGTGGACCCTCTAGAAGTCACAATTCTGATCCGATTTTGATGAAACTTGAAATATATCTTTATAACCCAAAGATCTTGGTTCCTGTCGATATTCGCACATATCGGATTGTAACTTCCTGGTTCGAAAAATCGTTTTTTGCAAAATGTGGGCGCATCCTGCCTGGCAGCCGCTGGTTTTCATTATAACTGAACCAACCACTGATCTACAGTGCATAGTTATAAAAGTAAAAGTCAGTTGCCCAGTGCCATTTGTTGACACACACACTCACTCTCTCTCTCAAACACATTTTTTTACATTACAGTTGCTGTTGTTATCGCCTTTTTTGTATGCTGGGCTCCATTCCATGTGCAAAGATTGATGACCATTTATGTACCCGCAGGAAAATGGACAGTTCAACTGCTTGAAATACAAACTTATATTTTCTATGTATCAGGTATGTATATGTCTAATTCCAAACGTATATTTATAAGTGGGTATAATATTTGAAAGGTCTTTGATCTATATCATTTTGACCTGTTCATTAGTTGATCGTCTCTGTTCTTCAAGGGTCTATGTGTTATTTTCTGTAACAAATATTAAATATTTCGATGCACGTATAAATCTGAGTGGGACACAGAAATAATAAACGCCTTGAAGACGAATAACGTGCAACTTTCATAATCCTGGGTGGCGGAGAAGGTTTTAGACGTAAATCACTATCAATCTCCAATTATGGTCGAACGTTAGATCCCTTGGTTGTACCTTACAAAAACGAGACTATCTAAATCGGTATGCGTGCAAAGTATTAAAATTTGTATTGGGTGTACACATTTATTTTTTGGAGAAATCTGTGAGGTACGTTTCCCGGGGAGAAGTCAAGTCGAAACGTCGCCCAGTAATAGAATTGGATTCTATGTATTGCCGGTTCAATTACTTAAGGCCATTGAAAAAATTGTATTGGATAGGCGTTCATTTATTGATATAAAATTACACACAATACATAATCAATTATATAAAGCTTCATTTAATGCGTTTTCAAATGGTTAAAACATTTCATGTTTAAATTGCATAAAACATAATAATGAGATAAGAATAAGATCGCGTCATCATCCCTGTTTTATAGTCACCGTGTCATCATTAATTTTCGTTTGTCGTATCTTCTTTTAAATATCAACCCTTTAATGTTGCATACAGTGATTCTTAGAACTTTATCTCGATACTGATTGTTTCTATTGACGCGTAAAATAATATTCATAAATTCCAGCAAGAACAAAAAGAAGTTGTGTGCATCATCAATATTTCTAAAGATTAAGTACACCATACCACGAAATTTAATCATTTGCGCCATGCCTTTTTTATCCGTCTCCCTTTGTTGAAATTACGCATGTTCTATGCTAAAACAGTGTTGTAATTAAATTAGCTCGAATAGTGAGTAAGACTTGGTGAAACAGCGTAAAATGGTGGTGTGGCTGCTAATACCGGTACCTACTTATTTTCCTCCAGTAACCCAGTGTGAGATAAAGTCAAAGCTTATATTGGAATCTATAGTGAAATAAAAAGCGAGAGATTAACCTAAATGTAGCACGGATTCTGTGAATACAAATTAGACTGGTTATTGACAGGCTGTCGTTAACTGTATTTAATTGAATCGCATCAGTTACTCAGTTTCATCAACCAATATCTACTTGGATGCCGGCTTCTTCGACTTTTCTTCCCAATAAACAACCAATATTGAACACGTTCTTAATGACTGATTTTGGTTTTAGTTTTAAAGTGGGATTTTAATTGTAAAGGAATAATTCACTTTTATATAACAAAATAAGATACGAATAAGTCAGACACCTTGCGTTATTCTAATTAGGGGAACTCAAACTCGGGGCCTTTATAAGCCTATTTTGTATTTAGTTACTTATGCAGATACAACCATCTGAATCTAATGTTAGTCATATCACTGTGGTGATTTCTGTAACTGTCCTCTAATTCTTACAGTAGTCTAAGCGGTATATCTTTGTAAATATTAGAAAACTTTTTTAAATGTAAGAAGGAAATGAGGTGGGTCGATTCGCCAGACACAACATAACCACACTCATTGTCTTGATTATATACATGTGTTATTCCCTATTAACAGTATACTATTTTAATCTAAACTAAAAGAAACCTTTTGAATTTATTGAATAGAGTAAGATTAGACTAGTAGTGCATGCTCGCTGGCACGAGACAAACTATTAAGAACGAAATTGCTGAAACAACTAGACTTCGATCTGGATTTCAAAGGCGATATTGTCGCCAGCACGATAAATTGTCTATGACAATAGCATGCCTGTTTCTGCTATCGTTGTTGATCTATTTATGTTTCATTTTTCTTATGCCTTTTTTTATTATTATTCTAAAGCCGAAGTTTTCATAACATTAATTTTCTGCAGAAAGTTTATATACCAGTACTTTCCCTTTAAATATGGGTCATTAAGATCATTTGTTCATGCTCGAGAAAAGATGCTAATTTTCATCCCAATACATAGTCACCTTTCAAACAAAACCAACATTAATAATAACCAAGTCCATCGAGCATTAAGTTTATTTTATATGGTTGTGTTTAAGAAGAACGCATGTTTTACAAAAATAACATCAATAAATTTAAGTCCATGAAGTTTATTTTTATATGTTTCTGTTGGCTTCTAACAAAAGGTGCATTTTTAAGAAATATTTATTAATGGTGCTCATAATATTACATTTTAACCGTATTGATTGATATCACTCAAAGACGCCATTAGTTGACATTTCCCCAACTCAATGTTGCTAAAACAAAAAACTTACCATGTAAACTGTCACGAACTCTACGCAATTCCATAACGGAATCATCTTTTTTACTAGATGAATCGCTTTTTTAGTCTTGTTTTGACACTTGCATACAAATTCAAAGAAAGGAATTTTGAAATGTTTTTGAAATAGTTGTTTGTGAAGAGTGCAAGCACATCCATATCAATCAAATCTAATTCAGACATTCATATTAACTTTTTTCCCGAGTCGATGTATTTATTCAGACTTACAAATGTAAACCATCTTAATTCAATATTTTCACAGGGTTTAATGTTTGGGTTTTTTTGTGTACTTTTCGGATTTATTTGCAATTTTTGCTCAAATTGATTCACAAATGAGATCCATTTAAAACAAATGTTTACAAAATAGCCTCGCAAAATAGTTGGACGCATGAGGTTTACTTTGGCAAGTTTTATGTATTGAAAAAGGTTTATTCGTAACCATTGTATTTAGTTACAACTCTTATTGGGACACTGTATGCTGCGTCGTTTGAGCTTCAGTGAGCTAGGGTTAGGTCACCAATACTTCCAAAGTATTTACGGGGTTATGGTTATTCATAAATACAGTATTTGCAAGGTAAGCTTTATACATAACACTGTGTTTATGAATAACACACACATAACATTGTAGTCTAAACCTAAAACTTAATATTCTAGTACATTCTAGTCTAAACCTTAAGCTTAACATTCTAGTCTAAACTTAACATTCTAATCTTAAAACTTAACATTCTAGTCTTAAAGCTTAACATTCTAGTCTTAACCCAATATCGTCCTGCAGAATGATAAAATAAAAGTATCAAATTTGACAATGACCCCTTCTAAATCTATTCCATAATTCCGACTAGAGCATACTATTTCAAATATCATCTACATTAAATGTATAGCCTTCAAACACCCAAAGAAAAGTAAGCAATTAACAACAGGTCGAATATATATATTTTATTCCAACAAACTTCAATTTCAACACATTAGTTAAAATTACCTCTGTCTTTGCCTTGTTTTCAGTCGAAACTGTTGAGATAAATATTTATCTGTATGTCAGCTTCCGGATACCTTAATTTTAAATAACGGGATCAAGTCAGTGTGTCACACTGGATGGATTCAACGGTTAAAAGAGAAAATGTCGCGTTTCGGAATAAAAAATCTTGTTTGTATAATCTAGATCTAGCGTGTACGGTGATTTTGTTACATGTATCCCTCAACTTCACTGCACCTACACGCCACATATCAGCGTACCAAATTCGATGCTTCTACCACTGTTGAACTAATTGTCACCACAACACTTTGGTTATTTTTATACGTCCACATTCATAATGTGAACGTATTATGCCGTCGCCCCTGTCTGTGTGTGTGTGTGTGTGTATGTATGTATGTGTGTGTGTGTGTGTGTGTGTGTGTGTGTCTGTGGTTCGCCTACAGGGCGCAATTCTTCATGGATTTTCTTCAAACTTGGTATACTTATTCCTTATACCCCAAGGAAGATCCCTATTGTTTTTGGTGCATGCCCGACCCCCCGGGGCAGAGCCACGCCCATTTCTAGTATTTGTTTGTTTGTCGTCTACAGGCCACATTTCTTAACTAATAATCTTGAAACTTTGCATACACATTCTTTGTACCCTAAGGAACATCCCTATCGTTTGGGGTGCATGCCCAACCCCCAGGGGCAGAGCCACGCCCATTTTCTTTTCGTGTGTCTTTGTGTCGCCTACAGGGCGCAATTCTTACTGGATTTTCTTCAAACTTGGTATACTTATTCCTTATACCCCAAGGAAGATCCCTATTGTTTTTGGTGCATGCCCGACCCCCAGGGGCAGAGCCACGCCCATTTCTAGTATTTGTTTGTTTGTCGTCTACAGGCCACATTTCTTAACTTATAATCTTGCATACACATTCTTTGTACCCTAAGGAACATCCCTATCGTTTGGGGTACATGCCCAACCCCCAGGGGCAGAGCCACGCCCATTTCCCATTTTCTTTTCGTGTGTCTTTGTGTCGCCTACAGGGCGCAATTCTTACTGGATTTTCTTCAAACTTGGTATACTTATTCCTTATACCCCAAGGAAGATCCCTATTGTTTTTGGTGCATGCCCGACCCCCAGGGGCAGAGCCACGCCCATTTCTAGTTATTAGATGCTACAATCAACAGGTCAAAAACTGTACAAGGCAAATAGTTGTACAATATTAGGGATTAATTTCCAAAGGAATTTGATGTGGTCAATGTTACCAACCCGTTTTACCCAGGATATCTAATTTTTATACGTCCACATTCATAATGTGGACGTAGATTGCCGTCGCCCCTGTCCTTGTGTGTGTGTCTTGTGTGTCGCCTACAGGCCACAATTCTTAAGTGATCATCTGCAAACTTTACATACTTATTCATTATACCCCAAGGATGATCCCTATTGTTTTTGGTGCATGCCCTACCCCCAGGGGCAGAGTCACGCCCATTCTTTGAATTTCTTTGTTTGTCATCTACAGGCCGCATTCCTTAACATATCATATTGAAACTTTGCATACTTATTCTTTGTACCCTAAGGAACATCCCTATCGTTTGGGGTGCATGCCCAACCCCCAGGGGCAGAGCCACGCCCATTTTCAATTTGTGTGTCTGTGTTTTGCCTACATATTTATTCCTTATACCATAAAGACAGCAACTATTTATTTTGATGCTTGCCCCGACCTCCTGGGGCAGTGTCGCACCCACTTTATTGTTAGTATTTTGTCTGTAAATTTGGCAAAACAAACCCGACACCTAGCCTTCTTTGCCTCTGATCATATTACAGCCATTTCATATTTCATTCTCTTCATTTTAAAAAGTACCATATCAATCAAAGCTGGATTGTGGACGTATATTGCAGCGTTAGCGATGCTCTTGTTAGAATAATATTACGTGGTTTATTTCAATTGTTACGTGTGTAACGCGTCAACTCTTCTTCGTATTCCGACTGGCAATGTACGTGTACGATGGTGGTGTTTTCTCATGCGAGTTCTTTATTGACCATTGTTATTTGTATTATAGAAATAATGGAGATGGTGTCCGATCACTGACATTGCCTTATCTCACCGCCGAGTATCAACAACCATTCTCAAATACCTGCAGACGTTTCATCTAGCATGCTATTAGATGGTTTCTATACGACAGGAAATAGAATTAATGTTAATTCTACTATGTCGTTCAATCTCCTGTATCAATTAATCAATCTGCTATAACTTGTTCCTGATAATGGCTTTAATCACGGTCTTTGTTTCTACTTTCAGGCGTTTTATATTTTGTGAGCTCGACTGTAAATCCTATCCTGTATAATGTATTGTCGAAGAGATACCGCCGAGCCTTTAAAATGACCCTCTGTCGCTGTTGTCATAGAAATAAATACACTAATGATTTAAGTCTCTGTCGATCTTCGCCTTCCGTTGGAACAGGGACATCAGTGGCAATTTATACCAATCAAAAACTGTTTGTGAAACATAAACCCATTAAGAATGGATTGTTCAGGAATTCGAAATTGTGACTGTAAAAGTGGTATATTAAATCTATATTATCTTGTTTTTGATCTTCTTTCGCCAATAGACATGCCTGATAAAATCTTTAGCCTTATGTATTAAAACAGTTTGTAAATACAGCGATAGAATCAATTCCAAAATGATAGATCTTCTAAATTTCTTTTCTTAGCAACTTATCAGAACACATTATATCTTAACGGCATAGGTGTGTTGCGGATATCTGTTGTACGCCTGAACTCCGACTTGGGCAGGCCTTATAGCCAAACAGAACAACAAGCAGACCCACCTTTGTGAGCTGTACAAGTGATCTGGATCTGTATAGTATACGTACATATTTTTCTGAAGAAGGACATTTATCCCAAAGGTTCTCTTAACTTAAATTGTTAGCTACATTTTGCTACTTTTTTCCTTCGACGAGGCTTCTTATTAATTGTTCATCAATGTAATTAAAAGCACCTGGAAACACCCTGAATAGGATAGCGGCTTAAAGATGCATTATTTGGACTGCAAATGGTATATAAACGATTATTTAGACATTTATTCGTATGACAAGCCTAAAATCAACTCCTTAGAGCGCCGGATGACCGAGATTTAAATGGATTAAAATACCCGCGAGATTTACAAATTTAACGATAAAGTGGATAATTGAGATTTAGTCTTGATTGGCAAGTACCGTTGCTAAGATAATAAACAATCTTCAGTCACTACTTCGCTCAAAAATACAGTAATTTGTATGAAATTTTCAATATATTCATTTTTTATTATTATATAGCAAGAAGGGTCAGCTCTCTATCTGAATCTTACATAATGCATTTTTAAGAAGTGCAGTGGTTTCTGTTTCTATTCTTGAAGAATAAATTGTTACGTAAATGGGAAAACTACTAAGTTTTACATACAATTAGTAGTAGCACACTTACTTAAGTGTGTTACTACTAATTGTATGTAAAACTCCATTGCAAATTTGCAATTTGTTTTTCCTTGACTGTTTTGTTTCATTGGGTTGTTTGACAGGGAATGAAATGAAATGGGGTTTAACGTCCTACTGTTCTGCTCCGGACTGGGTAATGAAAACGGGCATACGCCATACAGTGTGCTATGAGAGAAATTTTGCCCGGACAGCGGCACTACAGAATACTCTTATATCGAATTCCATCTGTCAAGGGATCTTTTACATGCACGCCAATGTGTACACGGGGCCCCGGCCTTTCGTATCATCCGAACGACTAGAAAGCTGTTCTTGTCAGGCCCTCCGTCCTGCAACACTGACAAGGGGGAAGCACGCCGGAAAATCTGAATGAACTGTCTCGGCCAATGCAGGGATCGAACACCCAACCTCCAGGCTAGCGAGCCAGCGTCTTACCCACTTAGCCACCGTGATCCCCCTGTTTGACAGGAAGGTGATGTTTAAGAACATATATGCTAAAACTTTTCTAGCATTAGCTATTACTTATCGAGCTGTGTTTGCACATACATACAGGAAGCTTTATCTGTATTGGGATCAAATTAACAACTGACGGAATGGAACCATTTTCTGACTGCTTAACCTCTCCGGGATTCGACTTACACAACATGATAGTATGCAAGTGGTCAAAAATCCCTCGAATGAAGAACAGATTCTTAAAGAACAATGTTGGTGTCAGCCAATATTACATATGTTAACTGGTTAAACACATTCCAGACATAATTTTAACGCCGACATGCGACGATGGATGAATAACGAAGATTTGAAGAAACGGGAAGTGACGCAAAACATGGAAAACACGAAACTGAAATAAAGAGCGATAACAGATACACGGTCAATTTTCAGCTCACTGCAGATAATTCCTTTGAAGACGAAAATTTGTTATGTGAGACTGTGAGAGGATCCGACAGTTCATAAAGAGAATTGATACGAGAAAAATAGAAAACAGTCCGTGCATTCCCTTGTTTTTATTCATTGTCTGCTTAATAAAGACAAGGTAATGCACGGACTTTTTCTATTTGTCTTTAAGGATAACTCGTGTTTTCCATTTCTTGCGTCCATTCTTCGTTAAGCATCTACCGTAGCAATGATCTCTGTGTTAAAAGTATATTTGGAACGTGTTTAACCAGTTTTACCCCTTGTATATTACCATATTGTGTAAGTCGAATCCCGGAGCAGTCAGAAAATGGTTCCATTCCGTTCAGATGTTAAAAAGATATAATGAATTGAAATGGGTCAACATTCGGCATCCTGGGATAACGATATAGGAGGCAGGATCAAAACAAATCAGCACGACGTTAATAGTTAGATTTTTATTTCATAATTAAATGTTACATATTCCACTTGAGTACATTTTAGCTTGGCTATAATTCCAAAATGAAAATGACGATGCAAATACTAGTTAGCGTCAGGTTACCCTTTTTTTTAAAAAAACATCCAAAAATTACTGTTTTAATATACCGTTCTAACACTACGTCACACTTGCCATCGTGTTGTCGTTTTCGAGCTTTACTATTCCATGCTGCATTTTTCAGATACGTTTCTCCATTGTCTCGGTTCTGTATTGGAATAGGTACCATTTTACTGGTTGACAAATAAAAATATTATTGCTATTTCAGTTATGTTTTACGATCGTTAGAGACCTTATATATTTAGATAAAAGATATGTGGCCTAACTATTCTAGAGGGAACATACCTTTATCTGATAATAATTATATAGCCGTTACTTTCAAAATGAAATATCCACTCCCTGGTGCACGCACTGAGTTTTCATCTCATTTACTCACTTTTAACGATTCATAACTGTATGTAAATAGCAACAATTACAGATTGTGGCATTCAGTAACAAGTGTATAATATTTTTTTCAACTTGTGTATGTCCTTTAGACTCACGTTTGACTTTCGCAATTTCAGTAAAGTAAAATGGGTAGATTTTGAAACTCAACATTTATTTCTATAGAGATTCGGGTTTTTGTAATTTCCAATTACTTTTTTTTTTTGTTTAACTCCTTATGAATATGACATTAAGTGTTCATGAAAAAGTAATCATTTTGGTTTCATAGCATCCCCGCCCCCTGATTTTCACCATCATTCATAACATTAATCAAAAAATCTCATTTTGTGCGTCATTTATTTTGTCATAATGAGGAAATAAGTGTATGTTAAGCGGGTAGCTTCCAAGTCATTGAGTTCGTATATTCTTTTCTCTAAATACTTATAAACATGTTTTGATATCAAGTTAGGAAAAGATTTGAAACAACCAATTTTCATTTTGTTCGTGTTCGATAATTGACATAATCATTCACAAACCCATTAGAAGTTGTGTTGTTTGTTTTGTTTTTATAATGTTTTTGCACATCGGAGGGTGCCGGGTTCAACGTCTTTGTGACTCAATAACATATAAAATGTCATTACTTGTTACTATAACAACCAAGGCAGAATGTATTTTATAACATTATTCGAGTAAGGCAGAATGTATTTTGTAACATTATTCGAGTGTGTCAATCTGAGCCCATTTCAATAAACTTCTCAAGTCCTTAAAAGTTCTTATCTACAGAGATAAAGTATCGTTAGCTCATCAAATCCGAACGTTTTAACTCTTTTAAGAATGAATTCTGATAAATGCATAAAAGTCTGACAGCTTCTAAACGTCTTTGGTGAATTAAACGAAATGATATTCATTGCTCTGGTCAAGATATTATGGTCTATTATTTTAGCTCAACGTATATGTCACTATTTATTTCTTTTTGTGTATAATATTTTTGTTTGTACTACTATAACAATGACACGTGTAAATTAAACGAAAATTTTATGTCATAATTGTCTTTATTGTTTGTTATTATTTATGATGGTTGAATCCTATGATGGGATATGTTGAAGGAGCAGACCGGGATATATTTTAGCATATAAAACTGGTTAATTCAGGACAAAACCATCTATTCTGTTCCTGCTCAACAATGTAAAGCACTGTCATACTATTTTACAGAAACACAAACGTCGAGTCCGGATTTGCCATTGTAAGCAATAGGAGTCCCTTTCAAACTACAATATTGGGAAAGATGAATCTCTAATAGAAATATCAGTCCAAAAATAGTTCTATTCCGTTCAGTATTTACAAAGAGTATGTGGAAATGAAATTGCATCGATCTATGCTGCTCGCTATTTAATGATAGGCGGTTTTAACCAATTGAATCCAAGCTGGAAGATAATCTGGCGTTGGTATTGAGATTAAATGTTAAATTATCAATCGGAGATCACATTAGCGTGGATATATATTTTAGTGATAAATGGCAATGGCACATCGTTACTTTAGTGAGTAAGGCAAGGGTTCACAATTTAGGGGGTTCCGGAGTCGATCTTCGTGTTGGCTGGGAATGGTCCTCGAATTTTCGCTTGAAAACATCCAACAGACCTAACGTCTAACGTAGTAAAAGGAATCATGGCTATATATCGGTGGGTATTATTACATAACAAAACATCAATAGAGGATATTCAAAATATGATTTCTGGTCATTTTCCCGAAACATTGCTGGTAGATTAGACTCTGGAATACAAAATGAAATGAAATGAAATGAAATGGGGTTTAACTTCCTACTGTTCAGGTCCGACTGGGCTAATGAAGACGGGCATACGCCATACAGTGGGCTATGAAGTAAATTTTGCCCGGACAGCGGCACTATAGCCTACTCGTATATAGAATCCTAACTGCCAAGGGATATTTTACGTGCACGCCAATGTAAACACGGGTCCTCGGTTTTTCGTATCATCCGAATGACTAGACTGCTGTCCATGTCAGGCCCTCCGTCCTGCACCTATGAACTTTCTCGGCCAATGCAGGGATCGAACACACGGCCTCCAGACTAGCGAGCCAGCATAGTACCCTCTTAGCCCACGTGGCTACCACTATGTAATACAGACAACAATTTAATAATATGTATTGTTGTTGAACGGCATTGTTTTACATGTCAGGATTGACATACCCAGATATCATGAATCTCGTGGCGGAACGAGAATTCGTTTAATGGGTAATCTTTTCAGGAATGAAGCATGTCATCAACGACAAACACATAACTTAAATGTTT